CACTTCACAGGTAAGGTTTGTCTTGTGTTACTGTCAAATATAGATACGTGCTGAACACATCTGTGCCTAATCCAAAACTCCGGGCTTTTTTCTTTATGTTGCAGGATGTGAACCACGCTGTTCTCGCAGTAGGGTATGGAGTCGAGAACGGTGTTCCATATTGGCTCATCAAGAACTCATGGGGAGCCGATTGGGGTCAAAATGGCTACTTCAAGATGGAGTTTGGGAAAAATATGTGTGGTAAGTCCCATCCTCAGTTGGATTTCAGAGTTTTTATATTCTTTTTAGAAAATATTAGTATTGGCTGAATTCTCTTTATGTCATATATATCCAATTTGGTTGTTGCAGGTGTGGCAACATGTGCATCATACCCAATTGTTGCTTGATCTGATTGAGCAGCTGTCTGGATTTTGTCGTTGTTTTGTGTCTAAATTATGGTGTAAGAAAATGAAGGGTCAATGTCATGGTGTTTAGATGGAGGAGCTTTCTTTATTATTCAATAATTACAGGCATTTGTAAGACGCAGATCTGTTGTACGCAACAAAGACAAAATTTGTATATTTCATATATGAGGTACTTGTGTAACAAAATTTCATCAGATTATGTGGTTTTATTAATTCCCCCAAAGATCACCCAACTTCTGTGGGCTTGGCATACATCTGTTTTAATATCTAAATTTTTAATTTTTTTAAAAATCGTATTTAAAGTTTAGTTTTTGTTTTATTTTAGTATTATTTTTCAAAATTTTAGTATCATTTTTCAAAATCTAACATTAAGTTTTAAAAATAATTGAAAGTTTAAGTATTAAAACAGAATAAAAATCGATAGTTTAAGTGCTAAAAACGTTAAACGTTTTAAAGGTGGGGTATTAAAATTGAAAAAAACTAAAGTTGTGTATAGCTTTGAAAAAAATTAAAAATTTAAATACTGAAATGGATTTAAATTAATAATTTAAGTATTAAATGCATAATTTACCCTATTTTCTTTCACCTATTTAGAGACAGTGACGATATTATTGTATACTAATACTATCAGATCTGACTTTTACTGCATACTTATCAATGCCATTTTTTACTATTCTTGCACCATTATCATCACAATTAGTTCAATCAACTATGTGATCTGCACCCATGCCATCCTTTAGATTTTCATTGGTCCAATTTAATGGCGAGATTATTGATCAAATACCTCTGTAGTCGTTGTTCATTCATCGACGAACAATTGGAGCGAGCAATAAATAAATTCGCTGGACTAGTACACATTGATGTTGAAGATACATAAAGAATGCAATGCGAACACGTAATCCACAAGCACCACATTATGAAATTAACTCAGGTAAATGGGTTTGTGATGTTTTTTCCTTTATTGTATGTGCCATATTTATTGTAGTGTTGTATTTAGGCAAAATTTTCGAAATAATGTTCTAGAATAAATTAATTTACGAGATAATGCACTCACAAGATTAATTGCTCAAATAGGGTGAAATTCACAGTGTTGGCCGTAGGTCGTCAGCCATGTCTTCTCGGCAAGTTACGAGAGATTGCATGTGTCATGCACGTCCCAACACGCTGGGCATCCGAGACCATCCGACCGAGCTATGCGAGAGCATCCGATGCCATCCGATCGAGGCCATCCAAGGGCAGTCGAGCGAGCTATGCGAGGGTAGGTCGCCCGGAGGGCATGGCGACCTACAAGGTCGCCCGGAGGGCATTGCGACCTATGTGTTGGGACGTGCATGTGTCATGCAACATGTTCATTCTCTCTGTGAGTTCGCCGAGAAGCTGACCACGTAGTAGGTCGCCCGAAAGGCATGACGACCTACGGCCAACACCGTGGATTTCAACTTATTTGAGTAATTAATATGGGAAGTGCATTATCTCGTGAATTAATTTCTTCCAGAACATTATCTCGAAAGTTTTGTCATTGTATTTAGATTAAATTTAATACATTATTATTGATTATTTATTTTAAACTTTATTTAAATAAAATAATCATTAATTGATTCGATATTATATATTGACATGACATATTTACATGTGATATTCTATTTAAACAAATGTTAATGATATCCTTGGGTGAAAATTTGGTATACAATTTTCTTATATGGTATTATTATGTCAAAATTATCATTTTTACGATCTAATAAATTATAAAAGAAATCTCCATAAATTCTTAAAATTTTCCCAATTTCCATAATTGGAGGTATTAATTTATTACTATATTATTCTATTTACTCATTGACTAGTCCCACCTGTCATAACTAACCAACCAGCTGCTGCTTCCTTTAAATTTCTGCGTACATTGAACAGAGAGCTGTCAAAAGAAAAAGCATAATCATGGCTCGATTAACGTTGGTATCATCCATCATCCTTATACTATGCTGCATTGCCGGAGCATCAACTTTCGAAGACTCCAACCCTATTCACATGGTATCCGACGGCCTCCGTGGCTTCGAGTCATCCGTTCTTAATGTCATCGGCCATACTCGTAATGCTATCTCCTTCGCCCGCTTTGCTTACAAGTAAGCTTTCATTTATTGGAAATTTACACCTTTTATCTTGCTTCGTTGGTTTAGTACTCTAAGAAAAGAAAACCTAGAGAAAAATTGAAAATGTGGATGAAAATTTGAGTTTTTTTTTTTATTTGTTTAGACATGGGAGGAGGTACGAGAGCGTGGAGAAGATGAAGCTTCGGTTTCAGATTTTTGAAGAGAATTTGGATTTAATCCGATCTACTAACAAGAAAGGCTTGTCTTATACTCTTGGCGTTAATCGTAAGTTTTTTTTTTTTTGGCTCTAGTTGAAAGATTATTTCAGTGAATATCCACGATCTGTAGATGAATCGGACTTGTCTGATTCCGGCACCAAGGTAATTTAGCTGAGTTCAGTTCCAGTATGTTTGGTTACATGTCAATGGTAGCCTGAACTTACTTTGGCTCGGATGAAACTGTGAACTCATGATGTTTTGTTTTGTATTTTATTATGAGCTGATTATTTGTTTGAGTCGACGATGCAGAGTTTGCTGATTGGAGCTGGGAAGAGTTTCAAAAACACAAGCTCGGAGCTGCTCAAAACTGCTCCGCTACTCTAAAGGGCAATCACCAACTCACCGATGTCGTCCTTCCTGAATCGGTACAAATATGAACATAAAGAATCCTTTACGATGCTATACTATTTAGTACTCCGTTCGACTGTTGGATGTTACAAATGCATAATGATCGAATAATATCTGCAGAAGGATTGGAGGGAAGTGGGCATTGTCAGCCCTGTCAAAGAACAAGGCCACTGTGGATCTTGCTGGACATTCAGGTTAGTTCTCGTGTTCATATCCGACATTTTTGTTTGACACAAATATCAGATACAGCTATTTCAATAAAAATGTTGAGCATGAAACGTTTTAAGCTGTGAACTTTATGCATTTGGATATTGCAGTACCACTGGGGCTTTGGAAGCAGCTTACCATCAGGCATTTGGGAAAGGAATCTCTCTATCTGAGCAGCAGCTTGTGGACTGTGCTGGAGCCTTTAATAACAAAGGTTGCCACGGTGGGTTACCGTCTCAAGCCTTTGAATACATCAAATATAACGGCGGACTTGATACCGAGGAATCTTACCCCTACACTGGAAAAGATGATGTATGCAAATTCTCATCCGAAAATGTGGGTGTCAAAGTCGCTGGCTCTGTCAACATTACCATGGTAAGTTCGTGGTGTTTCTCTTTCTTGTATAAAGCTGGAAAATGAATGCCTTGTGGATTTAAATGTTTCATCTTTCGGATAATGGAATATAGGGTGCTGAAGATGAATTAAAGCATGCAGTCGCCTTGGTTCGGCCAGTTAGCGTGGCATATCAAGTAATGTCTAGTTTCCGGCATTACAAAAGTGGGGTTTTCTCTGACGAAACATGTGGTAAAACTTCACAGGTAAGGTTTTTCTTGTCTTACTGTCAAATATAGATATGTGTCAAACACATCTTGTGATTCATCCAAAACTCCGGGCCTTTTTTGTGTTGCAGGATGTGAACCACGCTGTTCTCGCAGTCGGATATGGAGTCGAGAACGGGGTTCCATATTGGCTCATCAAGAACTCATGGGGAGCCGGTTGGGGCGAAAATGGCTACTTCAAGATGGAGATGGGGAAAAACATGTGTGGTAAGTCTCATCCTCCCTTGGATTTCAGACTTTTTTTTGCGCATGTTCAATGCTTATTCAAAAGATATGGCTAAGAGAATATGATCCTCCAAAGACTCCAAATTCATAATTTTTTTGACATTCCCTTTATGCTTATATATCCAATTTGGTTGTTGCAGGTGTGGCTACATGTGCATCATACCCTATTGTTGCTTCATCTGATTGAGCAACTGTCTTTAGTTGAGGGTGCTTGACTTGATATTCAATAATTACAAAGGCATTTATTAGATGCAAATCTGTTGTACACAACAAAGACAAATGTAGTTCCATATTTAACATGCTTGTTGTGTAACAAAAATTTCATCAACTTATGTGGTTTTATTATTCCCCCAAAGATCACTCAACTTGCCTGTTCTTTTAATACCGTCCATAAAGGATTATCACATTGTCTTTCTTTTAATGCTGTCAATACAAGGATTATGGGATTGCACTGGCGACATATGGTCCAATCCATGTCTAGTTGATATGGATCATTTTCCCCATAACACTATAACGGCCCTCGGACAAGAAAACACGATACCACCCTTGTTAGCAGAGGCTAATGTCGAGGAAATTGCATCAAGAATACTAGCATGATAGAGGGGAAATATTTTCATTAATCTTTCGGAAATCTCTAACAATCTGTACATATTGAACGTTACATGTAGCAGGTATCATCCAAGAAGCTTAAAACAATATCGAATTTCCCCAAAGAACAAAGAATGAAATCGAAAACACAAAATTGATCTACCCGTTCCCCTTTTCCTGACCCTAAATATGGAATTGCTTAATTTTACATTATTATGTTCGAGATTTTATCTGACATGGAACAACAGATACCAAACTGTGAGGATAAATAGCTAACCTCTGTGGTCCTTTCCGACTCATTAGGCATACCATGCAAGGTGCCTTTGATAGCATTTACTGGTGTTGTTCCCCTACCAAGTTCAGATTTAAGATTGAGTAGCTTTAAATCTCCTATATCCCTCATATAAGGTTAAGAAGCAACAACACAGTACCATTAAAGTTTACAATATCTTGAAAAATACTTATCTGCGATCCTGCAAACACGAAGAAACAACAAATGATACGTTCAAAACAAATTAAGTAAATAAGCAATGCAACTCGACATCAATCCTTCAAGTACTACGAATAAGACTTAACAACAGATGCTCTGATATTATAAATCCATGTACACATGCATACTACTGCTTTAACTATGCTGCTAAACTAAAAAAGTATCATCTTTCTGAGGTTGCAAGTAATCTCCAATTCTCGGATTCATTTTCTAAGTAGCATTTACTAGTTATAAGTGCTGCATCGATTGAAAAAGAAAAAAGGATATTGATTTCTGGCTAAGAAGAGTGTTGAACTACCCGGCAATTAAAGCTGTCCCCGACGAACTTGATGGTGTGCCTTTTAACATACATGGAGATTGAACAAAGGGACTAGCCGGATGGAGAAAAAATTCATTTCAAGAAAAATTAAAAGGCCATCTTTGAAGATTTGCAATTTCATAAAGATCCAGTTTAAACAGTTGATTGATAATAAATGGCATGATTGCAGTTTATGATCTGAATGAAAGAACACAAAGACTTCACTTACCGAATGCAATTTCGATTGTGCTTCGGGCTAGAGATGCTTGAATGAATACTTGATATTTGGGGATGAAACCAAGTTCAATGATCAGGGAAGCTTTTATCTTAAGCAGACACAGACATATCTCTATTTATCCTCCAGTGAGCACTATTATCATCGGAAGTTGAACCAGTCAACTTCATGTCACGTGATGCTATTGTAGAAATATGAAAGGCTTCATTAGGCATCCCAGCTTTAAAAAGGCAAGATATCAAAGAGTGTACAGCGACACCATCTGGGGCACAACCAACTGATAACATTTTATCGAAAATGCTAATTGCTTCAAGCATTCTTCCTTTCATACAATGCCCGATAATGAGAATAGTAAATGTCACTTTATCAGGTTCACATTTCTTCCCCATCTCTGCAACTATCCGGTTGGCCTCATTCAAGTTCCCGGCCTTGCAGAACCCATCAATCACATGGTTGAAGATAAATGGTTTCAGAACAATATTCGTACATTGCAACTCCCTCAAAAGTCCACGAGCCTCGTGTATTCTATTTTGCTTGCATAGAGCATTAATAGTAATTGCAAAGGTATAGACATTTGGAGATATATTTCTCACTACCATTGCATTCCAAAGCTGCAAACTCTGGTTCACATCTCCTATCTGACAATACCCGTTAATCAAGGAGGTGAAGGTAACAACATCAGCACTGCAACCAAAAGAAGCCATCTTCTCATACATTGATTTAGCGGAAAGCATATCACCAACTCTTCCAAAGCCATCAATCAAAGCATTAAAAGTGACAACACTAGGCACAGTTCCGGAATTTATCATCTCACTAAAAAGAGCAGATGCCTCCTTCATCTTGCCCAACTTGCAATAACCAGATATGATCGATGTATACGTCAAAACATTCGGTGAACAATCATCTCTCAAACGAATTTCATTCAATAAACTATGACCTTTGTCTACCTCATTTGCCCTACATAATCCATTTATAATGGTGTTATATGAAACAAGATCAGGAAAACAACCAAAGCTCTTCATGTCATTAAAAAACTCAAAAGCCTGATTCACTTTTCCAACTCCGCAAAGTCCTCGAATTAGAATATTGAACGTCCAAGTATCCGGTTTGAAGTTTGATTCTACGTTCTCTTTATGTAACTTAGCTGCCTCTTCTAGTTTGCTTTGCTTAACCATCATATTCAACAAGTTGTTCATTGCATAAACGGTGACCATTACATCATCAGACTGAACTTCAGCAAGCAATTTCCTTGCCATATAAAATTCACCAGCCCTCCCAAAAGCTGAGATCATAAACCCTAACAAAGTACTATCAGGCAAATGCCCATCAATCTTCATATAATCAAAAACCAACTTAGCAGAACCATGTAAACCCACATGACAAAATGACCTAATAAGCAAGTTATAGGTCCAAAAAGAATGAGTAATATCAAGATTCTCCCTACTTAACTCGAAAAACTTCAATCTGAAAGCCGGATTGTTTAACCACTTAACAACTTCGAATTCAGTCGAAGGAGTCAAATTCTTGTTGAAGTATCTGTTAGATTTGGCTTGAAATTAAGTTGGCAAGTTGGAAATTTTATCTTGGTTGGTGGCCAACTTATTAGAAATTTCATCTTGGTTGGTGGCCAAACTTTGAACATGGGAATTTCATATTTGGTGACTAACTTGTACACATTGGAAAATTCTTTGGTAGGTGGCCAACTTATTTTTCATGTTTAATCCCTAAAATATTAGGTTATTTATAAGTTTAGTCCTTAAAACTCAACTATAAATAGGCCTAAGTATTTCATTAGAAATCATCTGAAAAAAACAAGTTCTCTCTTCCTCTTGTATTCTTCATTCTCTCACTTTGGGAATTCTAAAGAATTCCATTTGTTGTAATATTTATTGATAGTGAAGTTATCATCCGTGATGCCCGAGGAGTAGACGATATTCTCGTCGAACCTCGTAACTTTGGTGTGTTCTCTCATTTATTGTTTTTATTCGGTTTTTTCCATTGTGTTTCAATATTCAATAGTTTGACAGGTTTATCTGCTGTGCAACCTTTGGTGGTTTTGATCTTGATATTTTAGGTTAATTTTGAAACTACATTCGTGTGGGAAATAACCCGATTTCCCCAACAATTGGCATCAAAGCTTCGGTTGAGGTTATCCTGGTGGTTTCGTTGCTGAAAAGATACAGTTCGTGCTATTGAATATTGTTCGATAGAATTAAAATGCCAAAATACAGATCAGTTGAGACATCAAGCTCTTCATCCATACCGGTGAGGAGGAGGATGTCAAATGTAAATTTCTCGGTGGAGTTGTTCGATGGATCCAGTCATTTTGGCATGTGGCAAGGCGAGGTGTTAGACGCTTTATTCCAACAAGGTCTAGACATCGCCATTGAGGAACAAAAGCCCAAATATATGGAGGAGAAAGAATGAGGAACAATCAATCGTTTGGCGTGCAACACGATTCGATCTTGTCTTTCCAAGGAGTATAAGTATGTCTACAAGAATGAGACTTCTGCGAGTAAGATGTGGAAATCATTGGAGAAAAAATTCCTAAAGAAAAGCTCTCAGAATCGTCTCCACATGAAGAAAAGATTGTTTAGATTTGATTATCAACCAGGCACCAGTATGAATGAATACATCATTGCGTTCAATGAGCTAGTGGCAGACTTATTGAGCATGGATGAAACCTTCAAAGATGAAGATTTGGCCTTGATGTTGTTGTTATCTCTTCCAGATGAATTTGAGCACCTTGAGACAATGCTACTTCGTGGTAAGGATAATGTTACCCTTAAAGATGTAACTGCTGCTTTGTATAGTTATGAGCTCATGAAGAAAACCAAGAAGGAGAGCAAGTACAAAACAGCGGAGGCCATGGTGGCAAGAGGTCGCTCAAAAAGTCAAAAGCCAAAGTGGAGAGGGAGATCAAAGTCGAAGTCCAGACTGGGAAAAGATGAATGTGCCTTTTGTCATGAGAAAGGTCATTGGAAGAAAGATTGTCCGAAGCTGAAGAAGAAAGGAAAAGCTGTTCCAGATGCATGTGTTGCAGAGCATGATGCAAATGACTCTGACATATCATTGGTTGCTTCATCAACAACATTTCATTCAGATGAATGGATATTAGATTCGGGTTGCACCTATCATATATCCCCTAATCGGGAGTGGTTCTCCGATTTAGTAGAACTAAATGCAGGAGTTGTTTATATGAGCAATGACAATGCCTGTAAAACTATTGGGATAGGTTCAATTCGATTGAAGAATCAAGATGGATCAACCAGAGTTCTGACGGATGTCCGATACGTGCCCAGTTTGAAGAAAAATCTCATCTCGTTGGGAGCCTTGGAATCCAAAGGCTCAGTAGTCACTATGAGAGATGAAGTTTTAAAAGTCACATATGGCGCACTTGTGATTATGAAGGGCATCAAGAAAAATAATTTGTATTACTATCAAGGTAGTACAATTATTGGAGCAGTTGCAGCAGCTTCCGGAGGTGATGATTTGGATGTAACCCAGTTATGACATATGCGGTTGGGACATGCTGGAGAGAAATCCTTGCAAATTCTGGCAAAGAAAGGATTGTTGAAAGGTGCAAAGGCTTGCAAATTGAACTTTTGCGAGCATTGTGTTCTGGGAAAGTAGAAGAGAGTGAAGTTTGGTACCACTATACATAATACAAAGAGAAAATAACCTCAGTGACCGAAAATGCCTTATAATATACGATTTTAACCAACTTTTTTTGGATTTGCCAAAATGACCAACAAATTCGCAACGCGAATTCAAATTTCGCAACCTAGGTACCAAATTCGCAACGTGAAAGTCAAATTCGCAATGCGAAAGTCAAATTCGCAACACAGAAGTCAAATTCGCAACACAGAAGTCAAATTCGCAACGTGAACTCCAATTTTTCAACTCAGTTTCCAGATTCGCAACACGATTATCAAATTCGCAATGCGATAGTCGAAAATCGCAACGCGATTTTAAATTCGCAATGCATTTGTTTCTTAAGAATTTTCTCTAAAAATATAGTATCCGCGCGGACGTGTCGAAGACACGTATTACCACGACCACGACCACGGGATGGGACGGGACGGTGGCGGCGGTGCGCGAGAGTCCCCCTTGATCTCTTTCACTCAACAAAGAAGTGGGAAATCCAAGCCTTAAATACCCATTCTCAATAGTGTTTCCAATACTATGTGGGATTGAGTATTACAACACTTGTTTCCAATGCTAAGTTGAAACATTTAACATTTAACATTTGGAAGTTGCAACACATTTAACCAAGTGAACATCCTTTCGGTGGCCAAGATAATTAAGTGATATTTGTAATCGAGTTGGGAAAACTTGGTTTGTTTTGCAATATTTAAGTGATATTTATTTTTAACATAAGATCCTATTCCATTATTACGTGCTAGGATGTACACAACACATTGGGGTTAATCAAATGTCTTTTGTGTTGGCTACATGGTGTGATGGCGACATCGTCTTGGGAACACGACGAAGTGCTTACTCTTGCTTCATATCATCTCTTTTATCTTCTCTTAACCCAACTTTCGCCAAGTACATTGCCTTTTCAAGCATTGATTAAATGCTTTCCAACTTAATTATCTTGGCCACCGAAAGGATGTTCACTTGGTTAAATGTGTTCCAACTTCCAAATGTTAAATGTTAAATGTTTCAACTTAGCATTGGAAAAAAGTGTTGGTAATACTCAATCCCACATAGTATTGGAAACACTATTGGGAATGGGTATTTAAGGCTTGGATTTCCCACTTCCTTGTTGAGTGAAAGAGAACAAGGGGGACTCTCGCGCACCGCCGCCGCCGTCCTGTCCCGTCCCGTCGTGGTCGTAGTCGTGGTAATACGTGTCTTCGACACGTCCGCGCGGATACTATCTTTTTAGAGAAAATTCTTAAGAAACAAATGCATTGCGATTTTGGAGTATCGCGTTGCGAATCTTAAATCGCGTTGCGAATTTCGACTTTCGTATTGTGAATTTGACTTTCGCGTTGCAAATTTGACTTTTGCATTGCGAATTTGACTTCTGTGTTGCGAATTTGACTGTCGCGTTGTCAATTTGACATTCACGTTGCGAATTTGGAACATGGGTTACGAAATTTGAATTCGCGTTGCGAATTTGTTGGTCATTTTGGCAAATCCAAAAAAAGTTGGTTAAAATCGTATATTATAAGGCATTCTCGGTCACTGAGGTTATTTTCTCTAATACAAAAGGTATTGTGGATTATATTCACTCAGATGTATGGGGTCTTTCAAAGACATCGTCTTTGGGAGGAAACCATTTTTTTGTAACTTTTGTAGATAACTTTTCCAGAAGAGTTTGGGTGTATCCGATAAAGTCTAAAGATGAAGTGCTTCGAATTTTCCTAAAATGGAAAAATATGATCGAGAACCAGACTGGTAGAAAGATCAAACATCTTAGGACGGACAATGGAGGGGAATATAAAAATGACTCATTCTTTGACATTTGTCAGGAGTATGGTATCGTTCGACACTTCATTGTTAGAAATACACCATAACAGAATGGGGTGACAGAGCGTATAAATCGAACACTATTAGAGAAAGTTCGATGTATGTTGTTTAATGTTGGGTTAGGCAAGTCATTTTGGGCTGAGGCTGTGACATATGTTGGTCATCTCATCAATCGTCTGTCGTCATCAGCGATAGGAGGAAAAACACCATTGGAGGTATGGTTTGGAAAGCATGCTATTGATTATGATTCCTTACATGTATTTGGATCCACTACTTATTATCATGTGAAGGAATTCAAGCTTGATTCGAGAGCAAAGAAGGCTTTCTTTATAGGAATCACCCATGGAGTGAAGGGATTTCGCCTTTGGTGTTTAGACACCAAGAAGATAATTTGTAACAGAGATGTTACCTTTGATGAATATGCCCTAATAAAGAAGGTAAAAAATTAAGCTGTCCAGACAAGTAGTACTCCGCAGCAGGTAAAGCATACTCCAAAACAGGTGGAGTTTCAGCAGACGATGATCTCAGAAGTTGATGTAGCTGATTCTTCAACTCCAATAGAAGAATCAGAAGATGAAGAGGTTCAAACCCAAGAACCATTGGACACAACAGAACCACTTGCAATTACAAGGCCAAGAAGAGAAATTCGTAGACCTGCTCGATTTGTTGATATGGTGACCTATGCTCTTCCAGTTGTTGATGATGATATCCCTGTCACTTACCAAGAAGCAATACAAAGCTTGGAAAGTGATAAGTGGAAAAGTGTCATGAATGAAGAAATGCAATCTCTCTAAAAGAACAACACTTGGAAACTGACTCAATTACTGAAAGGTAAAAGAGTAATTGGATGAAAGTGGGTATTTGCAAAGAAATATGGATCTCATAGCAAGAAAGATGTTCGCTACAAGGCACGGTTGGTAGCTAAAGGTTACGCTCAAATGGAGGGGATCGACTACAATGAAGTATTTTCCCCTGTTGTGAAGCATTCCTCCATTAGAATATTGTTGGCCTTGGTAGCACAGTTGAATTTGGAGCTAGCTCAACTTGATATAAAGACGGCTTTCTTGCACGGTGATTTAGAAGATGAGATCTATATGAATCTGCCAGAAGGATACAAAGATGGTGGTCGTGAGAAATGGGTTTGTAAGCTGAACAAATCGCTATATGGATTGAAGCAATCTCTGAGGCAGTGGTACAAGCGATTTGATAGCTCTATGAGGAGGCAAAAGTACACTAGAAGCAAATATGATCATTGTGTGTATTTGCAAAAGCTTAAAGATGAATCTTTCATTTATCTTCTCTTGTACGTTGACGATATGTTGATCGTTTCGAAGAGTCAAAAGAAGATAGACAAATTAAAGGCTCAGTTGAATCAAGAGTTTGAGATGAAAGATCTAGGTGAGGCCAAGAAGATTCTTGGTATGGAGATAAGCAGAGATAGACAGAGAAAGAAGCTTTGTTTAACACAGAAGCAGTATCTGAGAAATGTATTACAATGTTTTGGCATAAATGAAAATACCAAACATGTAAGTATCCCACTAGCTTCTCATTTGAAACTTAGTTCTCAATTATCTCCTAAAACTAACGAAGAACGAGAGTATATGGCAAAAGTTCCATATGCTAATGCAATTGGGAGCTTGATGTATGCAATGGTGTGTACGCTTCCTGGCATTTCACAAGCAGTTGGAGTTGTGAGTAGGTACATGCATGATCCTGGAGAAAGATATTGGCAAGCTGTGAAATGAATTCTACGGTATCTCCAACAAACCGTGGATATTGGTTTAGTTTTTGAACAGGATGAAGCACTTGGTCAGTGTGTGGTTGGATATGTTGATTCTGATTATGCTGGTGATTTGGATAAGCGTCGATCAACTACTAGGTATTTGTTTACTCTTGCTAAAGCCCCATTAAGTTAGAAGTCTACATTGCAATCTACGGTGGCCTTGTCTACTACAGAGGCAGAATACATGACAGTTTCAGAGGCTGTAAAGGAAGCAATTTGGCTTAACGGATTGATGGAAGACTTGGGAGTTGTTCAAAGTCACATTAGTCTCTATTGTGACAGTCATAGCGCTATTCACTTAGCGAAAAATAAAGTCTACCATTCAAGGACTAAGCATATCGACGTGAGGTATCACTTTGCGCGGGAGATCTTTGAAGAAGGAAAGATTCTACTTCAGAAAATTGCGACATCAGAAAATCCTGTAGATATGATGACCAAGGTGGTAACAGTAATCAAGTTCAATCATTGTTTGAACTTGATTAACATCCTGAAAGTATGAACACCTTTGAGTGTGTGGCGCTTGTGAGCACAATTAGAGGTACTACAAATTTGGGGAGTTGAAGAAGTTGAGTAGGCTTGGTAATTTCAAGCCAAGGTGGAGATTTGTTAGATTTGGCTTGAAATTAAGTTGAGTTGAAAATTTCATATTGGTTGGTGGCCAACTTATTAGAAATTTCATATTGGTTGGTGGCCAAACTTTGAACATGGGAATTTCATATTTGGTGGCTAACTTGTACACATTGGAAAATTCTTTGGTAGGTGGTCAACTTATTTTTCATGTTTAATCCCTAAAATATTAGGTTATTTATAAGTTTAGTCCTTAAAACTCAACTATAAATAGGCCTAAGTATTTCATTAGAAATCTTCCCAAAAAAACAAGTTCTCTCTTCCTCTTGTATTTTTCATTCTCCCACTTTGGGAATTCTCATTTGTTGATAGTGAAGTTATCATCTGGTGTGGTGCCCGAGGAATAGACGATATTCTCGTCGAACCTCGTAACTTTGGTATGTTCTCTCTTTTATTGTTTTTATTCGATTTTTCCATTGTGTTTCAATATTCAATAATTTGACAGGTTTATCCGCTTTGCAACCTTTTATGGTTTTGATCTTGACATTTTAGGTCAATTTTGAAACTACGTTCGTGTGAGAAATAACTTGATTTCCCTAACAGTAACCCAAACAGGAATCATCCAACGGCTGTGAGTAAACAACGAGAATGCATACAACCTTAACGAACCGAGACTCTTGATTTTGGATTGCCTTTGCTCCCTTTTCGCCTTGCGGATGAGATGAGCCGTGAAATTGGATGCGACGCCGCGGAATGAAGGCCTTGGGGGCTGTTCGAACCCTTGAGAGACGATTTGTCGATGAAAAAAGGGTCATCTGTAAGATTGTAAACCACGACATAACTAGCTTTAACTAAATACCAAAATTTCTCAGCTTGAAAATGACTGGATTTTCTATTGGACAACCCAGGCTCAAATTTGAGATTTTCTATTGGACACCCCAGGCTCAAATTTGGGATTTTCGTTGAAAACTCTAATCTTCGTGAAGATGAAGAGAAATATAAGTATGGTACCATGACAAAACGATCCGCAGCTCGAACTAATTGACTGATATGATATAAAACCAGAGAAGAGCTTAAACCCATGATGAATCTCAAGCAATCAATTACTGAAATGGATCATTGGGAAGACAAAAGATGTTAAAGCTGTTTAATGGAAAAGAAATATTTCGATGAGAAATGTAGAAAATATGTAATGCCTGCAACGGGAATCAGAGGAAGTAGTAGGGTTTTTTGTTTTAGCTATATGGTTTCTGTTTTTGTTGGCTCACTTCACTGCCCTGTCAAGATAGACAGTAGACTATCGCCTATCGAAAATCGAAAACGAGACAAATTTATTTCGGTAAATTATGCCTTTAGTAATTAAATTATTAGTTTTCATTGTTTTAATACCTAAATTTTCATTTTTTAAATTATACTTAAAGTTTAATTTTTATTTCACTTTAGTATTTCATACAAAAACTGATTTTTAACGGCGGATACTAAAATAAAAATTAAGGTAAGATTTGATTTTAAAAAATTAAAAATTTAGATATTAAAACAGATTAAAACTACTTATTTAAATATTAAATGCATAGTTTACTTTTTTTTTTTAATCGAACAAGACAGGGGTTAAAGGATTAGGCCTATTATCTTATGAATAATAAAGACTCATTGAGGCTTACTTGGTCCATGCTTAACCAGCAATATAAGACTCTAGCTATTGGGCCTGTCGGCTGCCATTCCCATTGGACGTTTTTAATAA